GGAGGAGAGAGGAGGGAGGAGGGAGGAGGGAGGAGGGAGGAGTGATGAGGGCGGAGGGCGGAGGGCGGAGGGCGGAGGGAGGAGGGAGGAGGGAGGAGGGATGAGGGAGAAAGGAGGCGTGAGAAGGAAGGAGGGATGAGGCAGGACGGAGGAAGGAGGAGGGAGGTCGAGACGGGGGGAGAGGGAGGAGGGAGCGGGAGGGATGGAGGGAGGAGGGAGGAGGGGAGAGGGAAGAGGGAAAGGGGGGGAGGAGGATGGGAGGAGGGAGGAGGAGGAGGATGAGGATGATGATGAGGAGGAGGCCGAGGAAGAGGAGGGCGGAGGAGGGCGGATGATGGTCAGGAGGCGGAGGGGGACGTGGAGGAGGAGGAGGAAGAGGCGGAGGGTAGGAGGTGGAGGAGGAGGAGGACGAGGACGAGGAGCAGGAAGAGGACGACTATTAGCAACAATACTAATAGTAACATGAAGAATATAATACTACGGCTAGTAATAAGCAGAAGACGCATCATACGAAGCAGAAGGCGTGTCTGATTAACATTACGAATACGGCGGATCCGAATACAAGTAATGCCAATACAAATGCGAAGATTATGACCACACCTAAGACGACTAGTACTACTAATAATAATATGAGCTCCACGACGAATCATACGGCAACTCATCCTGCTGCTACTACTATTACTAACACTACGAATCATAGTACTAAGCAGACGAAGGATACTGAGACGAATGCTACTACTACTGCTACTACTGCTACTACTACTGCTACTACTACTACTACTACTACTACTACTACTACTACTACTACTACTACTACTACTACTACTACGACTACTAATACTAGTCAGAAGAATAAATAGGAATAGCCATTATAATAATACGAAGATGACACATACTAATACTATTAATCGTACGAAGACTAGCCTTACTAGTACGAGTAACAATAGTACTACGATGACTGATAATCATACTACTCATAAGAGTAATACGATTTCGCATGATCATATGACGATTAGCAATGCGATTCATACTAGTAGGAATACGAGTAAGCATACTACTAATACTAAGAAGAATGATACCAATAATAATGTAACAGTACCAATAAGCTAATAGTAATAAGAAGGCTGATACTAATAAGCGTACTAGGATTACTACGACTAATAAGAAGAAGCGTAGTAATACTAGTAGTTATACAAATAAGAATGCTAATGCTAATTTCAATCAGAAGAAACACACTAATACTAATACGAATAATAGTAATGATAATAACTAATACTAAGAAGAATGATAAGCATAAGAGGAGGAGGAGGAGGAGGAGGAGGAGGAGGAGGAAGAGGAGGGCGCGTCTCTTGCTCCTGGGCCTCCCTGAGCCCTCTCAGGGGGACGTCCGGGCAGCCGGTCGAAGGGGCCCTCGGCGGCGGCCAGGAGCGGGTCGATTTCGCCGACTTCGAGGCGCAGCACCGCCTCATGGCCACCATAGGACGCGTCTTTGATCGGGTGGTCCTCCTCCTCCTCCTCTACCTCCCCCGTCTCCTCTACCTCTACCTCAACCTCAATTTCCCACCTCTACCTCTACCTTTACTCCTTCCCCCCTCTACCTCCTCTACCTTCTCTATCTCCTCTGCCTCCTCTATATCTCCTTCTCCCTGTCTCTCCCGCAACACACATTCTGAGTACTACTCTTCTCTATCCCCTCCGCCTGTCCAGAAGATGTCCCACCATCTCCTCGCATGTTTTTTTCACACGGTTTCAACATGTGGTATTTTTCCAACCATCCTGTGGTGTTGGGTCCTCGTTTTGAAGAGACCGTCCCCGCGTTCCCTCCCTCCCTCCTTCCCTCCCTCCTTCCTTCCTCCTTCCCTTCCTCCTCCTTCGTAGCCCAGTAGGGAGTTCCGCATGCAGCTCCACCTCCATTTCGGCGCACCCCTCATACGTTTCGTGGCCCCGTAGGGTGCTCCACCGAAGACCCCAGTGGCAGGGTCCGCATGCAATTCCAACTCCATTTCGGCGCACCCCTTATACGTTTCGTGGCCCCATAGGGAGCTCCACCGAAGGCCCCAGTGGCAGGGTCCGCATGCAGTTCCACTTCTATTTCGGCGCACCCCTCGCACGTTTCGTGGCCCCATAGGGTGCTCCGCCCAAGGCCCCAGCGGCAGGGTCCGCATGCAGTTCCACCTCCGTTTCGGCGCACCCCTCGCACGTTTCGTGGCCCCATAGGGAGCTCCACCGAAGGCCCCAGTGGCAGGGTCCGCATGTAGTTCCACCCCCAATCCGGCGCACCCCTCGCACGTTTCGTGGCCCCATAAGGAGCTCCACCGAAGGTCCCAGTGGCAGGGTCCGCATGCAGTCCATCCCCATTTCGGCGCACCCCTCACGTCCGCATGCAGTTCCACCTCCATTTCGACGCAACCCTCACGCGTATCGTGGTCCCACGGGGTGCTCCGCCGAAGGTCCCATTGGCAGGGTCCGCATGCAGTTCCACCCCCAGTTCGGCCCCACCACTCACACGTTCGGTGGCCCCATAGGGTGCTCCGCCCAAGGCCCCAGTGGCAGGGTCCGCATGCAGTTCCACCTCCATTTCGGCGCACCCCTCGCACGTTTCGTGGCCCCATAGGGCGCTCCGCCCAAGGCCCCAGTGGCAGGGTCCGCATGCAGTTCCACCTCCTCCATTTCGGCGTACCCCTCACACGTTTCGTGGCTCGATTGGGAGCTCCACCGAAGGCCCTAGTAGTGGCAGCGCCCGCACGCGGTTCCACCCCGCATTCTGGTGTATCCCTCACACGTTTCGTGGCCTCACATGGGGCTCCACCGACGGCTCTGGAGGCAGCGTCCGCATGGCGTACCCGTGTCAATTTTGGCACACCCGTCACACGCATCGTGACCCCAGAGAGGTTCACCGAGGTCGATACCCACAACTGCGTTATTCACAACTACACATGGTTGGGTCCCTTGCCAGTTTTTGTTTGCATTTTTATTATTATTTCTATTGTGATTATTCTTAATCTTACTATTCTGGTTATTATTATTATTATTATTATTATTATTATTATTATTATTATTATTATTATTATAATACTAATAATAATTAGTATTATTATTCATCTATTTATGTATGTATAAATCGTTATATATGTTTATAGATACATACATACGTATTACATTCCGATCGTTTTCTGTCCTTTAAATGGTGTTCCGCTGCACCGGTGGCCTCATCTCCGCGTTTCTTTTCCTCTAGAACCGTGCTCCCACTGCAACGCTGGTCGAATTTCCACGTTTTCCCCCTTTCTGGATGGTGCTCCCACTGCAGCGTTAGCCTCATTTCCGCAATTTCGGTCCTTCAAAATGTGGCTGTTGCTGCAGCACCCGCGTCATGTCCAAATTGTCGGCCCCCAGCATGGTATTCTGGCTGTACCGTTCACAGAGCCATGTCATGAAATTCAGTATATGCCTTGCTCTGCAATGTTGTGACATGCAGTGCTGGGCTACACAGTGGAATACCATGATATACTGCTCCTTGCCATGCCATGGCATGCCATTCAATGCTATATCATGTGCCGCCGTGCGATGCCATCGCTTATGCTCCAATGATCTGGTATGGTCTGCTTGACTATGCAGTGACACAACATGCGATGCCATGTTACGCTCTGCCGTGCTTCCTACGCCATGCCATGCCATGCTATGCATCGCGCACCCTTTTGGGGTCATTGCCCTCTTCGACATCCGACTGTGCGGATGGAGCTCGGCTCTACGCAATGGTAGGGGACAGGAGGGAGGGGTAGGACGTCGGACACGACGCAAGCGCACCTAGCTGGCCCTCCCCTCCTCTCCCTCTACATCCTGCCTCCTCCCTTTTCCTCCTTCTCCTTTCTCCCCTCCTCCTTCTCCTCCTCCTCCTTCTCCTCTCCTCCTACTCCTCCTCCTCCTCCCTCCTCCTCCTCCTCCTCTCCCTCCTGCTTTCGACAGTCGGCACCAAATGGGCCTGACACTCGCCTGGCATCCTCCGTGGTCAGCCGATCCGCTCCGATCCTCCCCGTGCTTCCCTTTCCCCCCCCCTTTCCCCCTCCGCCCCCTCCTCAACCTCTGCGTCCTCCTCGCCGACTTCGAGGTGCGCGGCCGCCCCCGCCGTGGCCGCCGTGAGACGCGACTCTGGCTGTGTGCCCCCCTGCCACTCTCTCTCTCTCTCCATCGCTCTCCTGCTGCTGCGCCGCCCCCCGCCCTCGTCCCGCCCCAAGCCCAGCTCGCCCGCCTGCCGTGGCATCGGCTGCACGTGCCCATCGGCCGTTGAAAGTAGACCAAGCGCCTTCCTACTTCAAGGATCGAGTGGCCTCACCTTCTCCGTCCTCCCAATTTGGGCGGACGGAACCCAATCTGCTTTCAACGCCTTCCTACTTCATGTTTCTACCTACGTCTTCCGACCGAGTGGTAAGTAAGAGTGACCCTTCGCTGGAGTGACCTTTGGTGCGGGCCCACTGGGGTCCCCCGATCGCCGAGCGCGAGGCGGCAGTGGCGTCTTGCGCGCTTGTGTGTTGGCCCCCCCGCGGCCCCCCAAAAAGCCGCGCACCAAAGGTCACTCTTACCCGGGGTCACTCTTGCGTGCAGCCGATTGTTGCTGCCGAGAGACTGCTGCTTGTCCTCTAGTGCGCAACGGTCGTTACCCAGGCCAAACCCCTACCTCCCCTCCCGAGGTAACGGTAGCGATCGTAGGCAGGGGCCGGGGCCTGGACCACCCCCCTGCTGGTGCTCGCGCGCCAAGAGCCCCAGCCCCCCCCACGCCGGCCGCCGGAACCTCGGAAGGGGGGGGGGGGGGGGCGCCCCCCCCCAGGGGGGGGGGGCATCGCCTCGAGGTAGTCGAGAAGGCTGGCAATCTCAAGAGCGGCGGAGGCTGCGGGAGGCAGGGCCGTGGTGGAGCGGGGGCGGTGCGGCGCGGAGCTCGGCGAAAGCCAGCGGAAGTGAGTCTTAGAACGTTTTTTTTTTTTTTGTTATTTTTTTTGTTTTATGTTTTATATTTTCTTTTTTTTTGTCTTTAATTTTCTTGTCCATTATTTTTCTTCTTTATTCTTTTTTTTTATTTATTTCTTATTTTTTTTTTATTTTTTTTTTTTCTCTTTTTTGTTGTTCCCAATTCCCGGGTGGGGTCGCAGTAGATGGGGTCGGAAGATCGCGCCGCATCGCCGATGCATCGGCGATGCGGCTTGATGAGGAGGTCGATCTTCTCCACGCGTACGTCGCCGCTGCATCGCCGCTGCATCGCCGCTGCATCGCCGATGCATCGCCGATGCATCGCCGATGCATCGGCGATGCGGCGAGCTCCTCCGACCCCATGTTCGGGTATGGCCAGGACTCCAGGTAAGGGGACCCGGTTAGTGGTAGGGCCCCGGGGGCCCTGAATCGGCCAGAACCACTAAACCAGGTTTGCCGCAGCTGGTGTTTTCTCGGGTGACGGCAGTTCCGGTCAGTGGAAATGGGACGGGGGGGCGCCCCCGGTACAAATCACTAAACCAGGTTCCACTAAACCCAGTTCAAGTTCTGCCAACGCCCGACATGTGCCCCAAACCCCTCTGGGAGGCCCCCGAAAAGGCGGCCCCCGAAGGCCGGTAACTATTCTTCCAATATCGGGCCCGTGCTGGAGGGCCCCCACCGCCTGCCCAAAGCCACGGAGCCCGTGGGCGGAGCCGGGCCTTGGGGTGCTGTAGGGGGCCACGCGCGAACCCTACCCCAAATCTCATAATAGTGGGGGGGGGGTCAAAAAAGTGTTTGACGGCCGGTCTGGGACCCCCCCCCAAGACAGGCAACAAAAGGTCCAGAATCGAGACCCCCCCACAAATGTGTTTGACGAAGCCCGTGAGACCCCCCCAGAAGCAGACCCCCCCCCATTGTTATGAGATCCGGAGTGCCCCTACCCCCCACGATTTCTGGAGGGAGAGTGTGGGGTCCACTTCGCTCGGGCGCTCCCAGACGAAGTGACCCCCCCCTCCCCCTCAGAAGTCGTGGGGGTAGGGGTAGGGTTCGCGTGTGGCTCCCTATCCCTATGCTGTCTGAGCTCCATTCCCGGGACCGGTTCTGGTCGTGTGGGTGCAGCCCTTGCAGCTGGCAGATTTTTCGTGATGCTATGATTTTGTTGCCGGGCCTGATTCTGGTCATGTGGGTGCAACCTTGAAAGGCGCCCCGCTCTCTGTGATGCGAGAACGTCATATCTTGGAATCATTGTGATTATCCGGGTGCCAACCCTCAAGGGGGGCCAATTCTTCGAGTTGCCGCACCTCCACTTCCAGGCCTGATTTTGATCAGCCCGAGCCAGTTGTCCTGTGTCCAGAATTCCATTCCGGGGATTCGTTTGAGTGTCCAGAGCCAATCATTCAGCGTTTTTTGCGTTTTCATGTTGCTCAAACCCCACTGTAGCCTCAGCTCAAGCTCAGTTCCAGGTCCAGCTCCAGTCCTTGCTCCAAGTCCAGCTCCAGCTCCAGCCCCAGCTCCCACATCAGCGAAATTCCAGTTCCAGTTCCAGCCCAGGCTCAGCTCCAGGGCCAGCTCCAATCAATCTCCATCTCCAGCCCAAGGCAAAGCCCTCTTACGATCCGATTCGATGCGATTCGAGTCGCCCGGCTGGGGCCGTGATTCCGACTCGACTTGATTCGGTCCGATTCACCAGCCTCGGCCGCTGCCAGCCGGAGCCAGATACGGCGATCCGATTTCAGTTTCGCTTCTGAACGGTTTGCTGGCGATCCGATTTGTTTCCGATCTGGTCCGATTTCTCGATTCGATCCAACTCTGGCCTGTTCGGCCCAGTTCCAGCTCCAGCAAGGTCAAGCTCCAGCTCCAGCTCAAGCTTAGCTCCAGCTTCGGCCCAGTTCCTGCTTCAGCCCCACATTCAGATCCGACTCCAGCCCAGATCTATCTCCAGCCCCAGGTCCAGGCCGACGTTTAAACCAGGTCGCCCCCCAGCTCCAGGTCAGGCTCCAGCCAGATCCAGATCCAGATCCAGTTCCAGCTTCTGGCTCGAGCTCGAGCTCCAGCCCAGCTCAAGCTTCAGCCCAGGTCCAGGTAAAGGTCCAGCTCCAGCTTAATTAGCTCCTGCTCTAGTCCAGCTCCAGATGTAGCTTCAGCTTAGCTCCAACTCGAGATCCAGCTCCAGCTCCAGCCCTAGCTACATACCCAGCTCTAGCTCCAGCTCAAGATCAGATCCAGCTCCAGCTCCAGCTTCAGGTTCAGCCCAGTTTCATGTTCAGTCCCAGGTCCAGGTCCAGGTCTGGGTCCAGGTCGAGCCCCAGCTTCAGCATCAGCTCTAGCTCCGCCATTAGTTCCAGCTTGAGCCCCAGCCACAGTTCCAGCTAAAATTCAGGTTCAGCTCCACCTTCAGCTCCACCTTCAGCTCCAGCTCTAGCTCCAGCCCAGCTTCATATCCAGGCCCAGGTCTAGGTCTAGTCTAGGTCCAGGCTCGAGTCTTAACTCCAGCTCCAGCCTCAGCCCCAGCTACGTCTCCAGCTCCAGCTCCACGTCCAGCTCCAGCTCTAGCCCCAGCTCCAGCGTCAGCGTCAGCCCCAGCTCCAGCCCAGCTCCAGCCCAGCTCCAGCTCCCGCCACGCCTCCAGCTCCAGCCCAGCCGAGGTTTAGCTGCGGGTCCAGCCTGGCTCCAGCCTCGCTGCAGCTCCCGCTCCAGCATTATGGCCCAGGTCCAGTCCAGCTCCAGCTTCAGTTCTAGCTCCCGCCCCAGCTCCAGCTCCACTCCAGCTTCAGCTCGAGCTCCGGCCGAAATCCAGCTCCATCTCCAGCTTCGCTACAACTCCAGCTTCGCTCCAGCTCCAGCTCTGTCTCGGCTCCAGATCCAGCGTCAGATCCAGATCAGCTCCAGCTTTAGCTCCAGCTCCAGCTCCAGCCCAAACCCCAGCCCCAGCCCCAGCCCCAGCCCCCAGCTCCAGCCCCAGCTCCAGCCCAGGGTCATCTCCAACCTTGCGTCTTCTCGAATGCACCCGCTTTTTAGGTTCTGCTTGTTTTCCATATTGAGATTGTCATGCCGTAGTGCCTGGCTCAGAACTCGCAGCTGATATTGTATCTAATGGCCTTCGGCCCATCCCGTTGTGGGTCAGAGTTCTCAGGGATGCCTCTCGGGGTCTCTTCGGAGCGCTCTCAGGGGCCTCTTGGGATCTTCTTGGGAGCTTCTTGGGAGCTTCTTGGGGGCCTCTGGGGGGCCTCTTGGGGCCTCTTTGGGCCTCTTGGGGGCCTTCTGGGGCCTCTTGGGGGCCTCTTGAGGGCCTCTTGCGGCTTCCTTGGGGCCTCTCGGGGCCGAGGGCCCGAAATGTCCGTTCGGGCCCCCCATCTGGGTCCCCTCTTGGGACCGTCTTGGGCCCTCTTGGGCTGTCTTGGGCGTCTCTTTGGCCGTCTTGGGGCTCTGTTGGGCCGTCTTGGGAGCCGTCTTGGGGCGACTTTCGGGGCGTTTTTGGGCTGCTTTGGAGCGTCGGAAAACCGAATAGGCCAGAAGACCCACGACATTCAAAAACTGGAACCTTCGGAGGCCCCTTAGGCCGTTTTGGGATCCTCTCAGGCCGTCTTTGGGCCATCTTGGGCGTCTTGGGGCGATCGTTCGGCGACTCCGGGCCCTATAGGACCGTCTTGGGAGCATTTGAAGGTCCTCTTGGCCCGTGTTGAGGCCCTTCTGGGCCCGCACAAGCCCCGCGAGAAGACGATCCAACGCGGCTAGCCCAAGGAGATTTGCGAATTCGGTGTCCAGGCCCCTTAAAAGAATCCTTAGGATCGAGGACTGAGGCTCAGGGGACGAGGCAGTGGACCCGAGGCCCCGCCCACTCCGTGCCAAGCGGCACGGTGGTGGATAGTTACTCCAAGATGTGCATATCCCGGCTTGCATGTTCCAAGTCAGAGCATTGCACAGCAACGCTCGCGAGACACACTCTGCTCATGGCACACCAGATATTCACTCCCATGAGGTCTGCTTCCACACATTGGTCCATTGACGGGCGAGCGCGAAGCCTCCCCACACCTGTAGAGTAGATATGATTCTGCCTGGGCTCGTGCAGGATTCCTGGAACAAGCCCCGTATCCGCATCCGCCGCTTCGGAGACGTGCCTGGTGACCTGGTGACCCCGCGGAGTGGTGGCTCTGGTAGTTTACCAGCCTGGAACATACTACATATCCCTATCCCTATGCTGGGCATCTCCTCATCACGATGCCACTCTCAGGGATTCCCTTCTGTTTTGAGGGCGAGTCCCTAAGATTGTCATCGCCTTTTGGCGTGCCAATCTTAGGGATAGGGACACGTTCGAGGCTGGTACGCAGTCCGCAGGATTGCCAACAAAAACCCTGGATTGCAAAACAACCCTGGCGAAGGTTTTTTTGCAATCCTTCGGCGAAGGGTTTTTTTTGCAATCCTTTTTGCAATCCTTCGGTTTTTTTGCACCCCCTGGGCGGAAAGAGGTGGCCACCGCCGCCGCACCCTGGGAGGGGCGCGGCGCGCGGCTCCAGCAGCCGAGGCTGCCTCCCGAGGGCGAGCCGTCCTTTTGCCTCTCGCGGAGGGGCGGCCACGCGCAGGGGGGGTATCAGGAGGGGAATAAGCATAGACACAATTTAATCGTCGATTTCCCCGAGAATATGGGAACATGTGGGAAGTGGGGGGGAAGACAAGAACCGAGAAAATATGGGAAAACATGGAGGATCCTGTTATTTGTGTGTATCTATTTGTGTGCTTGTGGGCCCCTTCATCCTTGCCTCTCGCGGAGGGTCGGCCACGCGCAGGGGGGGTAGGGGGAGAGGGGAAGGCTTCTTAGAAGCACCCCTGCTTCTTAGAGGCCTTCCCCCTGCCCCCCTGTGCGCGCCGCCGAGACAAAGAGCGGCGCGGAGACCGCATGCCCCCGCCGGACGCCCCGCGCTCGTCCAAGCGGGTCTTCATCATCAGCGCTGGCTTCGGCCGCCTGCTGCGGCCCGCGCAGACGCAGCTGGTGGAGAGGGCGGGCTTCCAGCTCCACTGGTGCTCGGCGGCGAAGATCGGGGCGGCACGGGGGGGGGGGCGGGCGCCCTTCGGAGGAGGCGCGGGGAGTTTCCCAGAGGCCCTCCAGCGTTCCAAGACGCCTGGCGAGAGGCCGCCGGTCCCCTCCAGAGAGCCTCCTGGCGAGCTGCACGAGACGGGGGTCTTTGCAAACGGGGGTCAGCCAGAGCGCCAGGTCCTGCTGGATCCCTGCAGGGCCAGGGTTGCGCTGACCTGGGTCAGTGCGCAGGATCCTGCACAGCCCGACTGACCCGGGTTTGCATTGACCCAGGTGAGTATATCCCCGACCCCTCCCTCTCAGGAGGGCCTCCTCCCTCGCCTTCTTCCTCCCGTCAGTCGCAAGTCATGGAGGCTTGTATGCCCTCGGAGTTCCGTTTTGGAGTGTCTTGCGTCGATTTAGCGTCGATGAGAGTCGCTGTGGGTCAGTTAGCGTCGGTCAGCGTCGATTCGCAAGGGCCAGCAAGATGACATGGGAGGCCCCCATGCTTTGCCACAGAACCCCCCCGCGCCTCTCTCGGCGCGACGCCAAGGTGCACGAAGCCGCCAAACCCCGAGATTCCTGGCTTCGCGTTCGGCCCGCACCTGCAGCAGATCAAGAGCGAGCTCGACGAGTTCAAGCCCGACCTGGTCATGTGTGCCTCGAAGGGCGGCGTGTACGTGGTCAAGCTCTGGGAGGCGGGGCTGTGGCTGGGGCCCGCGCTGATGATCAACGCCCATCCCGCGTGCAGGCGCCTGCCCCGCGGCGTGCCAGTGGTCATCGCGGCGGGTGGTGACGACGAGCACTATCCCTCGACGCGGCAGGTCTTGTACCAGCTCATCTCCACGGGCACGAGGAGCCACAGCTTCCTCTACTACGCCGCTGGCAGCGGCCCGCGCCTCCCCCCGGGCTTCGCGCTGCGCCTCGGCGACCGGCACAACATGGACTCGCTGCTGCAGAACGACTGCCTTCCCCGCCTGATGGACGCCGCGATGTGCCGAGAGGGGGCCGAGGTGCACATGGCCCGCACCCACGTGGGCCTCGTTTCGGAGAGCCGCCTGCAGGCAGAGAGGCCTCTGCGGGAGCATCTCTTGCAGAGGCTGGCCGATGCGGAGGCTGGCCGCGACGCGGGTCAGCCGCTCTCGCCGGTGGAGCCCGGCAGCGAGGAGTTCGGCTGGGTCGCGGCCGCCTTCGGGTCGCCGCCGAAGGCTCGGAAAAGATAACACTCAGGAGGGGAAACAACACAGACACAATTAATCGTCGACTCCCCAGAAAATATAGGAAAATGTGGGAAGTGGGGGAAGACAAGAACCCAGAAAATATAGGAACATATGGGGAATCCTTTTATTTGTATGTATTTATTTGTGTGTTTGTGGGCCCCTTCACACACGTCGGCGGCGAAAGCCGAGCCCTGCCCCTGCCGATCCACGGTGCGGGCAGCTCGAGGGGCGGCGGGAGGGGGGTGCGGAAGTCGTCGAGCGCGTGGCGAGATCCGAGCCCTACCTTTCCGTCGGGCGTGTCCCCCTAAAGGGGGACTTTTCGACGAACAATTTTTAAATACCCCAGAAATACCCCCAAAAGGTCAAAACAAAAAAACTCAAATAGTCCCCAGACTTTTTTTTTTTTTTTTTTTTGTGTGTGTGTGTGTGTTTTTGTTATTATTTTGATGGTATTTTTTGTTTTTCGTCGAAAATCCCCCTGTAGGGGGTCAGGCCCGACAAAACCCTACCCCCGCATCTCGGAGGTCCGCGCGCATTTCTTGGATCGGCGCTGGGGCCGTCGGCGGCTCCTCCGGCGTCGAGCCCTGGCGCGCTCCGCGCACCAGGGAGGGGGGGTCCGGCGCCGATCGAAGAAGTCCGTGCGGACCTCGGGGTTTATGCTGGCGGTGGGTTTGCGCCGCGCTGATGCGGCGACGGCCCTTGCGCGGTCGTTCAAGGTTGAACGCCACCAGTGGCCCAGAATCGGCGAATACGAAACGATCTGGCGATCAGAAAGCCGCCGCTCGTTCTAGGTTGCATGCTCCACGCGGTGTCAGGAGCCAACGCTTGGGGCGTCACGACATGACAGACGGGGGTAAATCAGGGGCAGGGGGGGAGGCAGGCTTCTCAGAAGCCACCCCCGCCTCCGAGAGGGCGCGGGCCTTCTCTACTAGATGCAGGGCCGCCGCCTCCCAAGGAGCAGCCGGCCCCCCTCGCTTGGCGTCGCTCGGACGTGTGAATGTTTTCCTTCGGCGAGGACCATCGAGGAGCATCCTTGGTCATTCCGCGAAAAAGCCACGCACGAAACCGAAACAAAAAACACAGGAAATGGACGTCCGAGCGATGGCCAGCCCGTGCGCGCCGCCAATTTTGGTAGGAGGAGGAGGAGGAGGAGGAGGAGGAGGAGGAGGAGGAGGAGGAGGAGGAGGAGGAGGAGGAGGAGGAGGGGAGGGGAGGAGGAGGAGGAGGGGGGAGGAGGTACGTAGGAGTAGGGAGTAGGAGTAGGAGTTCAAGCTAGCCAGCTCGAGCGAGTCAAGCATGGCATGCCCAGTCCCACCCGCCCTCCCACAAAATAAGAAGCAAAGCTGGCACAACTGGGGGCCGAAGTCACACCGGCCAGCCGGTTTGGTACAGCTGATGCGGCCGCGATGGCGGTTGCCGACGGGAACTGGCGAGCGCGTGTTGAATGCCGCGCACGCATTGCCAGACGAACTGTGTATTGTCTTTTGCAGATTAGAATGGGACGGATTGGATGGGCGGGCGCGGGGTTTGCGCCGCGTCCCATTCCTGCTATGCATTTTGCGACGTGGACGACAGGACGTCCATGCGACGGTGCCAATGACGGCGACGACTCTAGAAGGATTTGAGCATGCGCTCGCGGCGACGCGCGCGCATGTCGCCCGCGTGGTATTTTTTTGCACAGGGTTCGCGGCCTGGGTGCATGACAGAGCATCGCGAGTGCACCGCGCGATGACGTGAAATCGCTGGATTTGACCGAATTCTTAAGATTCCCATGGTTTTCCTATGATTTCAGCAAGAGAGCCGGGCAGGAAAATTGTAGAATTTTTGTGAAAAAAGCATTGGGTTTTTGATGTTTTTATGTTGAAATGCTTGCAAACACACGGTGTTCGGTAGGATTCTGACTTGAACGCGCGCGTGTGCTCTGTGGTATTTTTTGCAATGGATTATCGCCGTGGACGACAGGACGTCCATGTCGAGAGGAAAAAATAAGAAAAATGTTGATTTTGTATTGTTTTTTACAGGTTAGGATGGGACCCCCCGGATGCGGCCCCTAATGGCCGGCCTGAGGGGGGAGTAGGAGTATATTCTAATAAGGAATAAGGATAGGAGTCAAGCTAGCCAGCTCGAGCGAGTCAAGCATGGCATGCCCAATCCCACCCGCCCTCCCACAACATAAGAAGCAAAGCTGGCACAACTGGGGGCCGAAGTCACACCGGCCAGCCGGTTTGGTACAGCTGATGCGGCCGCGATGGCGTTTGCCGACGGGAACTGGCGAGCGCGTGTTGAATGCCGCGCACGCATTGCCAGACGAGTCGAGAATGGCCCGGTACACCGCAGGAAGCCAGAGGTGGCCGGAGGAAGCCCGACGGTCTGACAGGACACCCCAAAGCATTTTTGTGAAAAAGCATTGGGTTTTTGATGTTTTATGTTGAAATGCTTGCAAACACACGGTGTTCGGTAGGATTCTGACATGAACGCGCGAGTGTGCTCTTTGTGGTATTTTTTGCACAGGATTCGCGGCCTAGGTGCATGACAGAGCATCGCGAGTGCACCGCGCGATGACGTGAAATCGCTGAATTTGACAGAATTCTTAAGATTCCTATGGTTTTCCTATGATTTCAGCAAGAGAGCCCGGGCGGGAAATTTGTACAATTTTTGTGAAAAAAGCATTGGGTTTTTGATGTTTTTATGTTGAAATGCTTGCAAACACACGGTGTTCGGTAGGATTCTGACATGAACGCGCGCGTGTGCTCTTTGTTGTATTTTTTTGCAATGGATTATCGCCGTGGACGACAAGACGTCCATGTCGAGAGGAAAAAATAAGAAAAAAATGATTTTGTATTGTTTTTTTACAGGTTAGGATGGGACCCCCCGGATGCGGCCCCTAATGGCCGGCCTGAGGGGGGAGTAGGAGTATATTCTAATAAGGAATAAGGATAGGAGGAGGAGTATGAGCAGGAGTAGGAGTAGGAGTGGGAGTGGGAGTGGGAGTGGAGTGGGAGTGGGAGTGGGAGTAGGAGTAGGAGTCAAGCTAGCCAGCTCGAGCGAGTCAAGCATGGCATGCCCAGTCCAACCCGCCCTCCCACAACATAAGAAGCAAAGCTGGCACAACTGGGGGCCGAAGTCACACCGGCCAGCCGGTTTGGTACAGCTGATGCGGCCGCGATGGCGGTTGCCGACGGGAACTGGCGAGCGCGTGTTGAATGCTGCGCACGCATTGCCAGACGAGTCGAGAATGGCCCGGTACACCGCAGGAAGCCAGAGGTGGCCGGAGGAAGCCCGACGGTCTGACAGGACACCCCAAAGCATTTTTGTGAAAAAGCATTGGGTTTTTGATGTTTTTATGTTGAAATGCTTGCACACACACGGTGTTCGGTAGGATTCTGACATGAACGCGCGAGTGTGCTCTTTGTTGTTTTTTTGCACAGGATTCGCGGCCTGGGTGCATGACAGAGCATCGCGAGTGCACCGCGCGATGACGTGAAATCGCTGGATTTGACCGAATTCTTAAGATTCCTATGGTTTTCCTATGATTTCAGCAAGAGAGCCCGGGCGGGAAATTTGTACAATTTTTGTGAAAAAGCATTGGGTTTTTGATGTTTTTATGTTGAAATGCTTGCAAACACACGGTGTTCGGTAGGATTCTGACATGAACGCGCGCGTGTGCTCTTTGTGGTATTTTTTGCAATGGATTATCGCCGTGGACGACAGGACGTCCATGTCGAGAGGAAAAAATAAGAAAAATGTTGATTTTGTATTGTCTTTTACAGGTTAGGATGGGACCCCCCGGATGCGGCCCCTAATGGCCGGCCTGAGGGGGGAGTAGGAGTATATTCTAATAAGAAATAAGGATAGCAGTCAAGCCAGCCAGCTCGAACGAGTCAAGCATGGCATGCCCAGTCCCACCCGCCCTCCCACAACATAAGAAGCAAAGCTGGCACAACTGGGGGCCGAAGTCACACCGGCCAGCCGGTTTGGTACAGCTGATGCGGCCGCGATGGCGGTTGCCGACGGGAACTGGCGAGCGCGTGTTGAACGCCGCGCACGCATTGCCAGACGAGTCGAGAATGGCCCGGTACACCGCAGGAAGCCAGAGGTGGCCGTGTCGAGAACGGCCCGGTAAGCCGGGTCCCATTCCTGCCATGCATTTTGCGACGTGGACGACAGGACGTCCATGCGACGGTGCCAATGACGGCGACGACTCTAGAAGGATTTGAGCATGCGCTCGCGGCGACGCGCGCGCATGTCGCCCGCGTGGTATTTTTTGCACAGGATTCGCGGCCTGGGTGCATGACAGAGCATCGCGAGTGCACCGCGCGATGACGTGTAATCGCTGGATTTGACCGAATTCTTAAGATTCCTATGGTTTTCCTATGATTTCAGCAAGAGAGCCCGGGCGGGAAATTTGTAGTTTTTTTTGTGAAAAAGCATTGGGTTTTGATGTTTTTATGTTGAAATGCTTGCAAACACACGGTGTTCGGTAGGATTCTGACATGAACGCGCGCGTGTGCTCTTTGTGGTATTTTTTGCAATGGATTATCGCCGTGGACGACAGGACGTCCATGTCGAGAGGAAAAAAAAAAAACATGTTGATTTTGTATTGTCTTTTACAGGTTAGGATGGGACCACCCGGATGGGCCCCCTATCTGCCGGCCTGAGGGGGGAGTAAGAGTATATTCTAATAAGGAATAAGGATAGGAGTAGGAGTAGTAGTAACAGTAGTAGTAGTAGTAGTAGTAGTAGTAGTAGTAGTAGTAGTAGTAATAATAGTAGTCGTAGTAGTCGTAGTAGTAGTAGTAGTAGTAGTAGTAGTAGTAGTAGTAGTAGTAGTAGTAGTAGTAGTAGTAGTAGTAGTAGTAGTAGTAGTAGTAGTAGTAGTAGTAGAGTAGTAATAGTAGTAGTAGTCGTAGTAGTAGTAGTAGTAGTAGTAGTAGTAGTAGTAGTAGTAGTAGTAGTAACATTCGTAGTCAAGTATTAGTAGTACTAGTAG